CGCTCTCGCTCTCTCTCGCTCTCTCCCTCTCTCTCTCTCTCTCTCTCGCTCTCGCTCTCTCTCTCTCTCTCTCTCTCTCTCGCCAGTTTGGCTCAGCAGTTAGAGCGTCAGCCTGCGGTCCATAGAGACCCAGGTTCGGTTCCCGCTAAGGGCGTGTACCTCGGTTGCAGTTTGTCCCTGGCCCTGGTTGGGTCGTGCGGGTGGCAGCCTCCTGCTCTATCTGAACAAAAAATGGAAAAATGTCCTCAGGTGAGAATAAAAAAATTAATTAAATTAAATAAATTATAGAGCCATGTGACTACATCCAGAACATGAAGGAAATTGAGGGGAGACATCACCAATAATCCCATTTCTCTGACCCATATAAGTTTATAGATGAAAAAAAACATCTATTGGTTGTGATGGGAATGCTTGTTATCTGTTATGATGGTTTCATAGGTGTGTACAGATGTCAAAATTCATCAAATCACACACTTCAAATTACAGTTTATTGCATGTCAATTATGCCTCAGTAAAAGAAAAAAACAAAAGGTAGCATCTATTTTTTAATTACAAAAATAGACGTTTTCATTATGAAGAATTCAGAAAAGCATAATGATGAAGAAAATGTCACTTGGTGCTCAGAGATATCCATGGAGTCCCTTGTTAAGTCCCCTCCACCTGTTGAACTCCTTGGAATTCTCCCCTGGGGCCAGCTCTCATGACCCATCAGCCTCCAGCTTGCTCAGCCAGGTTCCAGTACCCACCTTGGTTCTGCTGGCTTCATGGGTCCAGACCCAGCGACCTTCCACCAGAGGTCCCAGCAGCCGTTGCACAGGGACCCTGTCCTCCTCACTGGGTCTGCACCTCTCTGTCACCTCCCTGGGTTCCTGTCTCTTCCCTGGCCAGTGCCAGTCTCTCTGCCTCTACTTCCCTCCTAGTCCAGCGTCTGCCCTTCCACAAACACTAACTGTTCACTAACAACACTTCATTTCCGTCTGAGGTCTTGACCGCTCCTCAGCACCCTAGACCCACCCTCCCTGTGCCTGACTTCTCCCTGTAGATGGGTTATGGGCACCTGAACCCTCATGTGGGCACCCTGCTTTCCCGTCACAGTCAACAATCCACTGTCCATCCTGTTGCTGGTACTTTTTCTCCTACATCCAATCCAGCTACAAGTCCAGAACAGACCTGCAGTCCGACCCCTTCTCTCCATCGCCTTGCTTCTACCCTAGTCTGGGTCACCTGGACCCAGTGCCATAGCCCCAACCGCTTGCCCTGCTCCCATCCCCCACCTGCCCACACAACAAGTCTGAGCAAGTCACTCTGCTGCTTACCGTAGCTACTGTGGCTATTTGAATTTAAATCCATTAAGGTTAAATCAAAGTAAAAATTCAGTTCAGTTGCAGCAGCCACATTTTAGATGCTCAGGAGTCACATGGGGAAGCTAAGGGCTGCTGAAACGTTCAGCACAAAGTATAGAATGTGTCCATCATGCTGGAAAGTTCCATTGGAAGGTGCAGGCTCAGAACTTTCCAGGGGCTTTTCCTTGATTTTAGAATAAAACTCTGAACTTCTTACATGCCCGGAAGACCCTGCCTCGCCTATAATGTCACCTCCTGCCACCCACAACAGCCTCGTCTCCTAACCTAGACCTTCCTTAAACACATCTGGAACTTTGGAGTCCTGTCTTTGCCTTTCTGTTCCTCGTGCTTAGGACCAGCTCAGATGTCACGGCTCCAGGCAAGCCTTCCTAAGATCCCTGCCTCCTCCTGACTTCCCGCATGGCACACACACCTCTGCTATGGCCTGGCTCTGCCTGCCATATCAATTCCTTCTCACACACGTGCACCTCTATCCCTAGGCTGTGTGCTCCTTGGGGCCACACATGTCAGATTCCTTATTTACCGGCACTGGCTAAGCACTTACTATGTATTGAGCACGGGGGTCATGGGTAACAAGACAGACAGATTGCTGCACTCTGGCGTTGGATCTAGCTGGGGACAGACAGCCAATGGGGAATTGCAGTGTTATACATCTGGACCTCACTTCCCTCTTTCTTCCCTTCCTTGGGAGGGATGGATGATAAGGAAGTTTGCAGGAAAGGACTAGGGACCCAGGATGGGAGTGCTTTCAGAGAAAGGGCCGAGGATGGGAGAAGTGTCCTTGGGGTCAGAATAAGCTGTCCCATGGAGAGATAGCCACTATCTTGTTGAGTCCTTGTACTAAAAAACAAGCCTTTTGGCAAGAGAAGAGCCAGCAAACCCACATTACGGAGCTTCAGGGTTTGTGAACTAAGTTTGCTTATGTCTACAATATTTAAGGAGGGGCTAAGTTGGAGCCTGCAAAGCAGAGAAAGGAACACCTCACTGATAGATGAAATCCCCCACCAGCCTCAAATAGCCTTTTGTTTCACAGGTGGTAATTATAATGTCCCTGATGAGCCTATAATTCCTCCTGGAAACTGAGGGGCCCGTCAGCAAGGGAAAAAGCAGTTTGTAGTTTGGGGATCCTCTCTGCTGATGGCCAGGGGACGGGGTTCTAAGCCTGCCCAACCAACTTGCCGGAAGACCTGAGCAAGTCCTCCAATGAAGGCAGCTAATATCGATCAGGAACCCTGGTGTGCCACACCCTGTGAGGTTAGGATTTATTATACCCATTTTATTTTATTTTAATTAATTGGATTTATTGGATGACATTGGTTTGCAAAACCATATAGGTTTAAAGTGTACAACTCAATAAAACATCATCTGCACACTGCATTGTGCAACCATTACCCCAAGCAAAGCCTCTTTCCTTCCCTTTGCCCACATCCCACCACCCACTTTCCCTCTGCCTATCACCATACTGTTGTCTGTGTCTATGTGTTATGTATATGTGTTTTTAGGTTTGTTTGTATGTTTTTTAAATATATTTTTATTGATTTTTTTTTTTAGAGAGAGAGAATAAGGAAGAGGGAGAGAGAGAAACATCATTGTGAGAGAGAAGCATCGATAGCTGCCTCTCAAATGCACCCTCACTGGGGATTGAACCCACAATCTGGGCATGTGCTCTGACTGGGAATTGAACCAGCAATCTTTTGGTACACAGGATGGTGGTGCTCAACCAGATGAGCCACACCGGCCAGGTTGTGTATATATTTTTTTGCTAATCCCTTCACCTTGTTTCATCCAGTCCTGCCATCTTCCTACCCTCTGACAGCTGTCAGTCTGTTCCAATTATACCCATTTTAAAGAATAGGTCACTGAGGATGTGAGCACAGCTGGGATTTCAGCCTCGCTTTGTTCAGCGGTACAGGCAGGGAGGCATAAGGGCCTGCAGAGGGCAGCAGTGAGCTGTGCCTGGAAGTAAGTATATGGAAGTCAAGCCCCAAGGGTTTTCCAGTGACTCTCCCAGGGCAACATTAAAGAGCAAGGGAAGGAACGCCACATGCTGTTTACCGAAGTGTGTTTTATGTTTGTCCCATCCGAGTGCTTAACGTACAGTGCACACAGCATTTTACATATGAAGACAAAATAGGCTCAGAGTAGAGAAGGGAAGGGAACTGCCCAGGTCAGAAATCCTGTTCTGGGGGTGACCTGAACCCTAGTCAGGCAGCCAGGTCCCTGGTCCTGGGTTCTGTTCCTCTGAATTAGACATCGGGGCATCTCACCTGCAAGACACTGGAACTGGGGCGAGGGCAAGATAGCCCCTCACATCCACACAGGGACAACAGCCTCTGGAGGCAGGTATTCTTGTTCTCACTTCAATGCCCTGGCAAACCAGGCACAGAGAGGCAGAGACGGTCAGGGCTCAGGCCTAGTTCTCTGGTTGACAAATCCTGTTTCCGTTTTCCCTCACCCAGCAGGCTGGTTTGGGTGTGTTCATTTTGCCCCATCAGACTCCCTACAATACTCCCTACTGTGTGTCTAAGATCTCTGGGTGTCCCTGGGACAGGAGAAAAGATTCTGCTTCACGGCTCACCTGGGCTGGGCTGGAAACAGCCCGGTACTCTAAACAGGTGAGTTCTGAGTCAGGCAAATCGGAAAAAAACTACACTGGCCTCTAGAGTTCAGGAGAGACCAGGGGACAAACACCGGGAACAAGACCAAAGGAAGGGAGATGTGGGTGTTGAGTGACCAGGGGGGAGAAATTGCTGTTGACTATCTCTGTGACAATCCCCTGTAGCAGTTGTTGCTTCATCACCCACCCCAGGTCCACAGCTCTGGGGCCCACTGGCACACAGGGGCTGCTGGCACTCACAGTCCAGCCTGGCCCTTCTTGCCTCGCTGGGTGGCCTGTCCCTCCCTCCCCCCAGCTCCACCCTGACATTGAAGAGTGGCCCAGAACCCGTAGAAATGAGGATCCAGGTGTTCTTGTCCTAGGGGGGGCCTCTGTGTGGGACTGCAGGGTTCACCGCCTAGGCCTCAGTTTCCAACCAAGAGCGGGGACAAGGGAGGGCAGTGGCTCAGTGGGGGAGAGGCCTCCCGGGGGCCCCTAGCCCTCTCCCGCCCCTCTCCGGGCTCCTCCGCACGGCCCCTTTAAGAGGCCCTCCTGGCTCCGTCAGCCGCGGCTGCCACCGCCCCCCGGCCCTCCCCTTCCTGCGGCGCCGAATGCGGGCTGGGCGGGAGTGTGGCCAGAGCGGGCCGGGCCGAGCGCAGCGCCCCGGGAGGCGGTAGCAGCCCGGACGCGGGGGGCGCGGCAGCCAGAGGAGAAGAGCGCGCAGGAGGCAGCCATGGACTAGCGGCGCCGGGCCGAGCCGAGGGCAGCTCCGATCCCGCCCCGCGCTGAGCAGCCCCACACACAATAGCAAAGCGCGCAGCCCGCACCCCCACCCCCACCACCGCGCGCGCCGCCCCCCAAGCGCGTCCCGCCCCGCGCCCGCGCCTCCCGGGGAGCTGAGCCACCGCCTCACCTGCCGCCGGGGTGGGGGCGGGCATTGTTCGCCCGCCGCCGCCACCGCCGCGCAGGGCCATGGGGGCCGCCGGGCGCCCCGGGCCGGGCCTGGCGAGGTCGCCGCGCCGCCGCTGAGGCGGGCCCCTTGCGCAGCCGGGCGGCGCAGGTGAGACCGGCCGCGCCATGGTGGACCCGGTGGGCTTCGCCGAGGCGTGGAAGGCGCAGTTCCCGGACTCGGAGCCGCCGCGCATGGAGCTGCGCTCGGTGGGCGACATCGAGCAGGAGCTGGAGCGCTGCAAGGCCTCCATTCGGCGCCTGGAGCAGGAGGTGAACCAGGAGCGCTTCCGCATGATCTACCTGCAGACGCTGCTGGCCAAGGAGAAGAAAAGCTACGACCGGCAGCGCTGGGGCTTCCGGCGCTCGCAGCCCCCCGACGGCGCCGCCGAGCCCCGTGCGCCCGCGCCGCGCCCGCCGCCCGCCGACAGCGCCGACCCTCCGCCCGCTGAGGAGCCCGAGGCCCGGCCCGACGGGGAGGGGTCCCCGAGCAAGGCCAGGCCTGCGGCCCCCCGCCGGCCCGGGGCCGCCGCGCCCGCCGAGCGGGACGACCGGGGGCCCCCCACCAGCGTGGCAGCGCTTAGGTCCAACTTCGAGAGGATCCGCAAGGGCCAAGGCCAGCCCGGCGCGGCCGACACCGAGAAACCCTTCTACGTGAACGTCGAGTTTCACCACGAGCGCGGCCTGGTGAAGGTCAACGACAAAGAGGTGTCAGACCGGATCAGCTCCCTGGGCAGCCAGGCCATGCAGATGGAGCGCAAGAAGTCCCAGCACGGCGCGGGTCCGGGCCTGGGAGATGCGCCCAGGCCCTCGTACCGGGGGCGCTCCTCGGAGAGCAGTGGCGGCCTCGACGGCGACTACGAGGACGCCGAGCTGAACCCCCGCTTCCTGAAGGACAACCTGATCAACACCAATGGCGGCAGTCGGCCCCCCTGGCCTCCCCTGGAGTACCAGCCGTACCAGAGCATCTACGTGGGGGGCATGATGGTGGAAGGGGAGGGCAAAGGCCCGCTCCTGCGCAGCCAGAGCACCTCGGAGCAGGAGAAGCGCCTTACCTGGCCCCGCAGGTCCTACTCCCCTCGGAGCTTTGAGGATAGTGGAGGCGGCTACACCCCGGACTGCAGCTCCAACGAGAACCTCACCTCCAGCGAGGAGGACTTCTCCTCGGGCCAGTCCAGCCGGGTGTCCCCGAGCCCCACCACCTACCGCATGTTCCGGGACAAGAGCCGCTCACCCTCACAGAACTCACAGCAATCCTTCGACAGCAGCAGCCCCCCGACGCCGCAGTGCCAGAAACGGCACCGGCAGTGCCAGGTCGTGGTGTCAGAGGCTACCATCGTAGGAGTCCGAAAGACCGGTCAGATCTGGCCCAGTGATGGGGACAGTTTGTCGAGCAGGCTGCCTCAGGACGGCACCTTCCACGGAGACACAGGTGGGTACCTCTACCAGCTTAGATGGGTACTCCTGCACCCTGGCGAGACATGTTGAGCATGCAGGAGGGAATAGAAAAGGGAAGTCCGAGGGGGAGGAATAGGGAGATACTTTTTGGAGTGAATTTTTTCGATACTGTTGTGGACAGGAAGGATTCATGCTAATCCAGCACCTGGACAAACTCCTTCCCTGCCTTCCTCCTGAATGCAGGTTCCCAGTGTTTGGAACGGGATTGGGTTAGGAGGGGTGGTGTGTGGGATGGTAGATGGCTTGTTCTTTTGGTTCAAAGTGTGTGCTGGATCGGTACCAGGGTGCTCTAAGCAGTCATCTCCTTGTTCTGTGATCCCTCCACCCTGGGTGGTGGGGATAGTATAAAGAGGGGTCTCTCTGCCATCTAGATCAGATGCTTTTTATCAAGGATTGATTTGTCTTGGGCGTTCCCCACCGTTCCTGGCCTGGAAGAGTTACATGACACGTTTGGGGAACTCAAGATGTGCTAGCTGCTTCTAGGCCATAGAAGTGTCAGGTTCACTTGATAGCCAGCAGCCCAACTGCAAGTCACAGCAGGTGAAAATACAAATTAGAAGGAAGTGAGGTGACAGGTAGTTCCGACTGTGGGTCACTGAAAATCAGTGGGGTGGTGGTGCAGATTTTATCCAGGGCTGAAGCAGAGCCACACCCTTTCTGATCTGCCTGGCTTTGGTGGGAGACTTCACCCATCATTACCCACCCGCAGGCTCCTCTGTGCATCTCACCCCAGCTCCATTTTCTGATCCCTTATTGGGCTCCTGCCTCTTCATCGTCCTAAGGACTAGTGCCCACTAGTGCTTATTTTAGGCTCCCAATCCATAGTCTGGCCCTGACCTTAAGGTTAAACCTGTGGGGTTGTGTATATAACTTCTGGACTGTGTACAAATACAGTTAGCATTGGGGTGATGGGACTGGGTTTTGAAGTCCTGGCCCAGTTTGTAATTGGAGTAAGGAGAGGGTGGGTAGGCGGGTGTGGAATTTGGGTGGGATAGGGTGGGGTGTGAGGCTGTTAGGAATCTCCTGGAGTTCTGGCCCCTGTTGGGTTAAACCGGTTTTCCACTTCATTGATTTTCCTTTTGCTGCTGATGGAGTTTCTGTGTTTCATTGGCCAGAATCCTCTTGAAACAAGTGAGGCTATTTTTGGCCCTGAGCGGCCTTTTTGTGATCAGCACTCTATCCTGTTTGTCTTAGGTACATCCAGCTGATGGTTTTCCATTTGCAGCTGGGTGTAGCTGCAGCATGCTGCTTCCAACCTGTGTCCCCTAAGTCCTTCGTGGGGGGTGGAAGGCTGTAATATTTAGAAACCTGCTTTGTTGGCACATCAGCTTGTCTGGGGTCTGGAGGGTTGCCCTGTGGTCAGTCACTGGGTACCAGCCTTGTCTGGCCAGCTGTCAGCCGAGGGAACCAGCTTGATCGGGGCCTGAGTACTGGGGCTCCGGAGAACGTTATTAACAAAGAAGAGGATTTCAGACCTGCCATCTGAAAGCGTTTTCCCTTGCTGGTGGGGAAGTCTGCATTTCCAGAAAGTGGGGTGTTTCAGTGGGCCGGCCTCCCCATGAACCCTCTCTGCACTCTTGTCAGCTGTTCTGCCTGCCTCTGAGACCCTGGTTCTGTGTGTCGCCCAGGGTAGGTTCTCAGTAAATGGCTGAGGAGTTAATTTTACAACTTGGACTTCACTTTTAGGACTTTCTGGAGCCTTCTCTGAATGTCCTCAAGGTCCCACCTTCTCTCTCCTGTTAGATTCTAAACTCCTGGTTGTTTGGGCTCTGGGAGCCTTTAAACTAGGCACCCAGCACCCTCTGAGGATTGCAGCTGGCCTGGCAAGGAGGGATCCTGTGCTGGCTCAGCCATCTGTCTCTGTCCCAACTGTTTACTCATATTCTTTAGATGACTGTGGCGCTTGCTGGCCAGGGCTGCACCTCTGAAAAAGGACAGTGAGGAAAATGAGTGTGAGGTGGGAGTGGAAGTCACCCTAATTCTTCGCAGCAGCAGACACAGGGGCCTGGATCCAGTAGTTTCACAATTCCTTTGCATGAGTGGGTCCTCATATTTCTGAGCTGAGGCCCGAGTGTTTGAGAGGAGCTGAAGTGATCGCTGTGTGCCAGGCGTGGTGACAGTGTACTCCATGCAGGGTCCCCCTTGAGCTCTTACATCACCCCGTGCCCATCTGCAGGTAAGGATGCATCCAGAAAATGACAGAGCTGGGATTTTGGGCCCCTGTGGAAATTCAGAGCTGTTCCTTCTAGAATGCAATGGCCTTAGGGTGTTCTTCCCACTGCCCTACCCTACTCCTGAAAAGCATGACCGGGTTGGTCTAGGCTAGGGAGTGGATCAGTAACAGCTGTGAGCCCTGGTGTGTGCAAGCCCCTCCGTTTGTACTGTGTGGTCTACATGGAAGGAGAGAGTGTGGTCCTGGCCATCTGGTAGCTCACAAGTTAGTGGGAGAGAGGAACACCCATCATTTATGTGTTCAAAGGGAGTGAGATCAGGGAAGTTTCCGCAAGCAGCAGCACTGGAGAGGGGCCTTGCCCATCAGAATAAGTCTAGCAGCAGAGGGGGAGGGAGCTGTCTCCTCCGAACAGCAGTGGGAACAACAGCTTGGGGTACCCATTTCTGTCCTCTGTGACTCTGGACTGTGTGCCTTTTTGTGGTAAAATATTCATAACGTAAAATTTACCGTCTGAATGCATTTTAGCCATTTTGATTTACACAGTTCGGTGGGATTAAGTACATTCACGTTGTGCCACCATCACCACTGCCCGTCTCCAGAACTCTCTTTATCTTGCAGAACTGAAGTTCTGTACCCATTGAACAACAGCTCCCCACTTCCCCACCTTCAGCCCCTGGCAACAACCACTCTACTTTCTGCTTCTGTGATTTGACTATTCTTGGTACCTCGTATAATTGGAATCACACAGTATTTGTGCCTCACTGTCTGGCATAATGTCCCCAAGTTTCATCCAGGTGGTAGTACAGACTGCATTTTGAAGGCAGGGACCCCAGGCTTCTGGTCTCCTGTGGAGCCTTAGAGCCAAACAGCACATGCTGGATGATTCCTTCTTCCTTTTCACAGCTTTGAGGTCGGCCCTGGGAAGTTGGGAAGGTGAGCTGGTCTTTGGGAAGCATCTTATCAGCTGCACCTGTCTCTTCCTAACTTCGTTCCTGTCCTTTGACTTTCCCTCTGGAGGGATGGCGAGCCCTGTCATGAGAGAGTATGCCAGCGGATCCAAAGACCTCTCCTTTTTTAGTCCTTTTACAGTCTGAAGAATTCCTTTTTTAAAAATGTATTTATTGATTTGAGAGAGAAGGAGAAACATCGATTCGTTGTTCCACGTATTCATGTGTCATTGGTTGATTCTTATATGTGCCCTGACCCAGGATCAAACTCGTAACCTTGGTGTATGGGGAAGACGCTCTAACCAACTGAGCCACCTGGCCAGGGCAGCCTGAGGGATTCTTAGTTTGAACACGCAGCCCTGTGTGCTCCTCCGCCCTTTTCCAAGTGTCGGTTGTGAGATGTGACCCTTAGATCTCACGTTTCTTTGTGGGCTGCCCTGTGTTTTCACATTTATTAAGCAGCTTAATGTGCCCTTTGGGTTCTGGTGGTGTGTTGTCACCAGGATGATGGCTGCTTTGTTTTTCCCTTGGATGATTGAATGGACCAGTGACCAGTTAGAGTGAGTAGCTGTGGGACAGTGAAAGGTCACCCAGGCCTCGTGCCAGTTCCATTAACATCTCTTTAGACCAGAGCCTGTGGTCACCTCCAAATTGAGTACAGGCTCCACTCTGTGAATAGAGGCAGAATGGACCGAACCGGGCGGAGCCTTGAGAGCACTTAAGTCATCTACAGGGTGGCAACCAAGTCTAGATCAAATTTTACAAGGGTGTCCTGGCTTGGGAAGGATGACTTTCTTGTTTTGGGAACAGAATGAAGCAATCCAGAACCTTTCACTAAAGAAGGAGCTGGGAGAGCTGTTGATTTTCGTGGGTCTGGGGGAACGTGCCTTTCCCATTTCTCCCTTTTGCCTCATTGGTTGCTCAGTAGCCACCCCACCCCTGACTGGGAATCCTGTGGCCCAGAGGACCCGTGTATGTGACTGCCGCCCTCACCAGGGACAAGACTCCAGGTGAGCCACACCCTGGGGCCCACCCAGGAAAGGACACAGCATTGCCTGGGGCTGGCTACAGCTCACCCCTGTGGGCCGAGAGAGCTCCATGTTCACAGTTCATGGATGGGCAAGTCAGTGTTCTCGGGTTACGAAACAATAGGCCTGAGTTTTGACTGAGGCTACCTTTTAGGTCAAGGCTGGTGGGGAGTGGGAGGGGGGGTGCTAGTGTGGATTAAATTAACTAGGAACCTCATAGTTCTTGACCCTGACTGGACTATAATTCCTGTGGTTCATGTAGGGTCTTTTCCCTTTGAAAAAATGTAATAATTTTAATTAAACTGTTATTTATGAAATGTGATGGGGTTTTTTGTTGTTGGGTTTTTAATCCTCACCCAAGGACATTTTTACATTAATCTTCAGATACAGCTGGAGGGCGAGAGGGAGGAAGAGAGAGAGACACATCAACTGGTTGCCACCCGCACAACCCCAACTGGGGCTGGGGACGAAGTGCAACCAAGGTACGTGCCCTTGGCCGAAATCGAACCTGGGACTCTTTGGTCCACAGGTGACACTCTTACTGCTGAGCTACACTCACCAGGGTTTGATGGGTTTTTTATTACGGTAAAGTAAACATCATAAAATACGCCATTTTAAGCTATTTTAAAAATTGATTTTAGATAGAGAGAGAGAGCAAAACATCAATTATTGTTCCACTTATTTATGCATTGATTGGTTGATTCTTGTATGTGCCCTGACCAGGGATCAAACCTGCAACCTTGGCACATTGGGATGACACTAACCAACCGAGCTACCCAGCCAGGACCCATTTTAAGCTTTTTTTTTTTATATCCTCACCTGAGGA